GGGGTCCCCAGAGGTCCGGAGGCCTGCCCGAGGCCCCACAGCTTAGGTGGGGAGGAGCTGGCCTGTGAGGGGCCACAGCCTGTCCTGTCTACGGCCCCCACACTCCTCCCCCAGTGCTCTGCCGCCTTGGCGACGTCACACGCGGCCCCTCGTTTTAGCCTCATGGCACACCTGTGACGTGGGCGCAAGGGGGTAACGAGAGGTCGTGTGGTTGCGGAGGGCCGCACGGCCGTGCCCTCCTCTGTGGCGGCTCGCCCCACTGGCCGCGGCCGGCCGAGACGGGGCCGGGGACTCTGGCCGGCGGGAGTCGGGTCGGGTGGGGGGCGGGGAGGGAGACGGGTGAGGTTGTACCACACACCGGTACCAGGGTGGGACCCTCGGCGCCCTCGTCGGTGACACGGCCCCTCTGCGTGTGTGTGGAGACAGCAAATGAGAGGCCGGACGGGCCTGCCGAGTCGCAACTCGGCGTGTGGCCTCGGACAAGCCCCACCGCCCTCTCTTAGGCCGTTTCCCCAGCTGATGAGGATGGGTGGGGGGAGGGCTCCAGGCTCCATTCCGGCAGGGCCGGCCCAGCTTACCGCCCAGCTCCCGCTCCACCGGCACCGCCACTGCCCACCCCACCCCACGGCCGCTCCCTTGTCCGCGGGGTGAGGACAGCCACCGGCTGGGGCATCTCCACTGCGTGACGGCCAGCGCTGCCGCTCGCGGGGACACCTCCGCCGTGGGACAGCCAGCACCAGGGTGGCCACCGAGGGCTAGAAACTAGGCAGACGGGCTACCTTCCGGCCGACTCCTGGGAGCCTGCATCCCAGCGCCAAGGGGATTTTCTGTCTGTGTCTCCGCCCCACGTCACCCCCTGGCGGGACCCCGGGACGCAACGGCCACCCTCGGAGAGGCCTCCGCTGTTGGCGGCAGGCGCAGCACGGCCCTGGGCCTGACGCGGGCCTGCTTGCTCCTCAGACCCCAGACACGGCACCGAGACACAGGCAGGACTGAAGCAAGTTTATTCACGCCAACGAGTGACATGAGGGAGTGGACCCTGTGCCTCCAGGAAGGACAGACACCTCAACCAAGGGCTTTCCCTGAGATAGGTCTTCCGCTTTTCCAAAACTATACGGGGCGCACGGTTCAACAGGCCTCCCGTGGACGCGCCGCCGAGGGCCGTGAGGGCGGCTGCACGCGGTCTAGCTATATCCACCTGCCCCAGGGCGCTGCTCTGTGCAGAGAGACTTCCACGCCAGTCAAGTGTCAAAACAAAAGGATCTGCAAAGACAACAGACCCCTCAGCCCCGGGCACCGTCAGTGCGAAGCAGCCACCGGCTTTCAGCGTGGAGTGTCAGGGTTACTTGGTGGGGACGAAGTATTAGTACGCTCAGGGAAAAGCATGATTGCTGGAGTGTGGTGCATGCACGGTCTGGAGTGTGGTAAGTGAACTGGAGAGTCTTGCCCACAGAAGACTCAATTTAATAAAAACTGGCCAACCTGGGCCAATGAAGAGCAGCCTTCAAGCTGGGAGCTCTCTTAGCCAAACGGACAGCAAAGCTTTAGCTGGCGATTCTTTTACATTTTGGGGGGCACGGGGGAAATACATCTGTGCCCGTTAAACTTCCCACATAGACTTTTCGAAGCACGTCTCACTCTATGATCGTGACGTTCTGACTGCAGATACGTATGCACGCTCCACATTCGTTCACAGAGCAGGTTCGGAGAGTAGGCTGGGAACCCGCAGGACGTTTTCAATGGCAGCTGTCCTGTGGACCCGACAGGCTGCCCCCTGTCGGGGGCAGACCCCCAAAGGTCTCACCTCTGGGGGCTGCTCTGTGGGAGAGACTCCAGCTGGACTGTCCGACCACGAAACGTTAGCTGGCACCCAATCCCCAAGGGTTTTGCCGCAAGAGACAGAAAGGAGGGCATCACAGGAAGAAACAGTATGGATACACACACAGGGCTTACAGATTCCAGGCCAGGAATTACCGTGTGACAGAGCCTACGGATAGCGGTGATTCGATTGGGCTGGGATTACTGGTAAATTACATCTCTTTTATAAGCGTGTATAAAACGAATGTTACTGAAAGTCGTAGGACAGCTTCCGGGGAGTCATGAACTCTTTCACGATCTCGTCCGTGACCTCCTTGCGCCTGGCCTGGTGTTCGGCGATCAAGGGCTGCAGAACCTCTATGAGGATCTTCTTGAGCTCACCGGTGAGCATGGCTCCACTCGTGTAGTCCTGCCCGGAGGGAGACAGACCGCAGTGAGACACGGCTGCACGAGCCCGGCTCACCCACGCGGGGCCCGGTGCACGGGGGGCGCTCGGCAGAACAAGAACCTGCAACTTAAACTGCGCGTTATGCCCCGCCTGACGAGTGGCCACAACCCGCCACTCGCCCCACCCGCCCTCCTTTCTGGGCGGCAGGACTCCAGGCCGAACGACGACCGTTCCCTTCAGCTTTACCAGCTTTTCTAAATCTTTGCTGACTCTCTTTTCATTTAACTGTGAAAGGAGGACGTGCTCACTGAGCGAACTTGACACAAAGTACAAAGTAGCAGCAAAGGTGGAGGAAAATCACCTGCAGAGCCAGCACCCAGCAGCCGAGAGCCACTGCCATCCTGGCGTGTTTCCTCCTAGATTCTTAACTTTAAGAATAGCTGATCTCACTGCATTTCCAGTCTGGTAACTGCGATCACTGTCACGGGCACGTTGTCCGTGTCACTGCAAACTCGTGCCTGCGTGATCACCCGTCCTTCCCGGTCAGCGTCCCTTCTGCTGTACAGTCTGCTGTGAACTTCCTGCTATTATCAGTGT